AACTTCAACATAACTCAACAAAACAAGATCACAGCAATTTCAAATCTATCGAAACGCCCAGTTGAAGGCTCATGAACTTTTTTTCATGATTCACTGTTAATGATGGATATATGGGTAACAAGAGAAATGACAATAACAGTAATAATAATAATAATAACATTAGTAATGAGAAGGATAATAAAGACAATACATTTTTCTTGCTTTATGTTGATTCGCAACACATCAAAATGAAATCCCAAATGAACATCATTTATATTTGCACTGCAATTAACTGCTTAGCATATTCAGGTATGACTTTTATTAATTCACAATTCGAACGGTACAATCACAATTAAAGGTGCATGATGCTATTGCATTGCTTTGTGAAACAAGCATTGAATTCCCAAATTCCCCACTAAAATCTTTGCTCATTCAATCATTCAAATCAAGCGGCTCGAGTCAATGCTTCCTCCCATTCACAAGTTGGGCGTGAGGGATCCAAATGATTTCAGGATTGCAATGAAATATTGTAGGTGAACGCGGAAAACGCAATGAAATTTCACTGCACCACATTGTAAGCAATGAACTATGATCCCACAGAAAAAGATCGTCTATAAAGGCTTGTAACGAAGATTGAATATTAGAAGTGCACTACATATAGGCATTTTTTTGGTTGCATTCTATAGAATGTATACATTTACTCGCATTCGAACGAATCGTTGAGAAGGATATGCGCAGAAGAGGTTATTTCATATTTATGGAAATCATCTTCAAAACAAAAGTTACCGCACCCTCGAATTTACGTCTGTCGGTGCGTAATGTTCTAGTGATATGTGAGTTTGATCCAACTCGAACTAATATTCATGTTAAGGTTCGTAATGTGTTGTTCATGAATGTATGTATGAACAAATGAATGAAGTGGATGGATTGATCTACACATCATGCAAAAGCAACGAACCAGATGTCATTATTTGCGCATTTCATAATTAAAAGCCCTTTTATGTGCTCTTCTCCTCATTCGCACTAGGTACAACTACATTCGATTCTATTAGAACTGATGTTTCTACTTCTGCTATATTCATTCTACCGCATTTCTGATGCTTTTGAGTATGCTCGCTATCTAAAGGCCTAGATGGCTCACAGATACGGATATGGAAGTAGATGTTGCATGAATGCTGCTTCTTGGAGTGCCTGAATTCTTCGTTCGTCTCTCATCCTTCATCTAGTTGGCTCGATTTTTCGATGATCGTTCGTATATCCATCCATCCATCCATTCAGCAATCTATCTTCTATCCTATGCATATATGCCATCATCTTATATCTGTTTTTATCTCGCCACTAACACAGCATTATCATTATTCTTACTTCATGCCAATTGGGATGTCCTTTGTTTCTGAACCATCATCATCACCATTCTTTTCAACGTATGCGCAGATTCATTTATTCATTCAATAAATTTATTTACTCCTTTTCTTTCTGTTGTCGTTCTTGTTAATAATAATCGTCTGTGATCGATAACTTCATGCAATATTATTCTTTTACTGTTCAGTAATTAACTATGTTTTCGTTGAAGTAAACAGTTGAAAATCGAATTTTTTCTCTAAGAGTTGAGTTGATTTGTCTGACCGTTTGAAGGAGCGTCGACATCAGAGAAGATACAGTAGAAGAATGAAGAACGAGATCAAAGAATCGTCTGTTCGATTCTTACTGTCAACTGTTCAATAACCTGCTCATTTGACCGTAATCTTGCCAACTCAAAGCTATTGTAAATTTGTAATGATAATAATTGAAGTAGAAAACATGCACCAAGATCGCATGTGAATACGTCAGTGATTGAAATTTTTAAATAAGTAGTTCGAGTTCAGTTCAGAACTGCAATAATCTTTCCAAATACACATTCAAAATTCACGCATATGCATTACACAAATGATAACGATTGTGATGATAATGACAGTGTGTGCCTCTTATGAGGAGCAAATAAGAAGCTCAAACTACTGCTGTTGGAGTTCATTGTTTAAAAGTGCAAATGCGTGAATAAAGATTGTTGCGTATATGGGAGGAGATAAGTTTAGACATTTTTAATGAATAAATGAACCAATAATGAGGACAAATTGAGGATGAAGGAGAAGATGAAAAATAACGAGACGAACCTAAATAAAGGAAGTGTGAAAAGGAAGGATATGATGGGTGGGAGATGAACATTAGACAGATGTGGATATAACGAGGAGTGTCGTCTCAAGACACCACCGATAACTATGGCACTAGACATGACAGCAGTCGGGATGGCAGCAACAGTTCAACTAACACCAGCATGAGTACGGAATGATAAGAAAAAAATTTAGCTAGGCTGTATAGTGGATGTGTATTCTATGTGTTGTTAGCTTTGCAAACAAACGAATGAAGTATTGCTGTTCTGCTGCGTGTACAGTTGAGAAACTGAGGGTGATTAAAGTTGTGTTCTGTTTGGATGTTGCGTGTTTATATGTAAGGAGCGTTCAAGATGCAGAGAATGGAAGAAGATACGAAGATAAAGATGAAGTAAACGATAACATGAGATTAGTCAGAGGGTTTGTATGATGGATGAATGAATGCATGCAACGAGAAATATGAAGCAGCATGCACATGCGTTTGAAAAGCATGCGTCATTATCCGTTTAAGTGTGGGCTAGCCTCCAGTCTATAGACCAAGCTTCATCGTCTGTAGACTCAATAAGGTCGGTCCAATAAATGTGCGCAGTTGTGGTTAGCAGTAGGCAGTACTGGTTAGCGAGCTGGAGCGCTGGATAAAGACAGAGAAAAGAGAAATGGATAGGATAGATTCAGAGGCAGTAGCTAGCTAGATGTAGATGATGTAGATTGATGGATGGATGGATGCATGCAAGGATGAATGGATGGATGGATGGATAGAAGGATGCTTGCTGCTAAGAAGAACTAATGTTGTCGTCGAAGTCGTTGTGCTGCTAGTGCTGCTTATATGCTTATGTGCTCGTCATCGATAAGACCAATCGAAAAGCAGCATCATGAATAATACCAGTGCTGCTTGTTGACCTGTCGCGTTTGATACGTTTGATGGCGATTTGTTCGCGTTGCTGCCGTTGCTATAACTGCACTCACAACATTATTATTAAAACTCTTCTTAATTCTATTACTACCAGTATTCCGTCCAGCACAGCAGTGATAATCGTCAAATAATTGGAACACAAATAACTCCAGGTTGTGTTTCGAGAACGTTCGATAAGTGCAGCAAGCAGCAGTTATAAGATATCGTTTAATCGTAGCATTATCATCATCATTTAGTTGATAAAATCTCGGAACACAACAGCAACAACAACGACAAGGGAAAGACAGTTTCATCATTCAGTGAAATCCTCCTTCTGGCCCAACCAACAGTTCAGGTGAAAATTTTGGTGGATACGAATACGTCAGTGCTGAACTGGCGTTCTGTTTCCATCATTCCTCTGAATTCATCGCATTCAACTGATTATTATTAGCGTTACCATTAATTCCGACAAGGACAAGAAGACTCCTTCGCTTCATTCCATCATTTTTTTAAACTCTTCTCATTGAGTACCATTGTTTTCATAGAATTTTTCTGCTGCTGTATGAATTCAAGGAGTTATCCGATTACCATCGTTACCATTCTCCTATATTGTCCTAATCAACACTCGTTTTTGAGAAGTATTTTCGTTAAAACAGCAGCGACAGTTCGATAAGCTTACTGTTGTTGTCGTTGAAATTGGATTGATTGGTTTTGTATTTCATTTATTGATATATAAAATTCGTATTGCAATCAATTATTTTCACTAGCCGAATATAATCATTCATCTTATCACGCTGAGAGCGCACGTGCAAAAGCGTTGCGCTTGCAGCATTCGAGTAAACCTGCCTTAGAATTCTGATGTTCGACGTTATCAAAGAGGTCAGCTCGCATATATCATCCAAGTTTATTCATTATCCATCCAACTCTTATTCAAACTAATATATCCATCCAGTCTGACTACTCCTCTAGATGTACTGGCTTGTTCCCTGAAGGATACAACGAACATGATAGCGTGATTGATCTGTTGTGCAGTCGTTATTACCAGCTCCTTGTAAGAATTCTCTTTTCTTCGAGATTAGTCATCATGCAGAATATGAACAGACCAAAATTGAAGAAGTTTAAATTACTCTTTACATTATCAATTTCTAGTGGATAGTTTGTGTAAGTTTCAAATGTGATTTATGTGAAGCTAAGTGCTGACACATAGAATTGACATTGAAGGCTAGATAGTGCCAATTCTACAAAATCACCAATATCAATTCGATTACAACGTTGCATCACCTTATTAATTAACACTGAGTACTGAAATGAGCTAACAAATACAGAAAATAGACTAATCAAATAAGACAGTACTGTTGCAGTCAGTAAATTTGCTTGAAAAAGAAATGAGTGAATCAGAGTGTTTATTTCATTATTGTGTTATGCTTGTTATCAGTTCCTCATCATATAATACCAGAGTTGATCGTCCATATCAAATCATGGTTTTGATTCAAACTATTACGCTACTGTTTCTGTGAAAGTAAAAAATTGAGCTTTTTTGGTGTGATTCTTAGAATTGAAACTGAGCAGTGGCGCGATCTGATGCACTTGACACTAATATTAATTTAGCTCGTGATATATCCTTCTTGTTATTCGTTGGTTATTCCGAGAACAATTCATTGACTGTGTTGTTTAGTAATTGGTATCTATAACTGCTATCAAGGTGCATATTCAAACAATGAAGCGATCAGTAAGTTAATAAAATATGAATTTCAGGTTTTAGGCGAAATCAACAACAAATTGAACGCTGTTAATGATGAGCTCAATGCGAGAATGAATACTGGACCACAAAACAGTACGTTTTTTTCCTAGCTCTCTTCTTCCATTCCACTACCTTCTCCAGTAGTGGTCTCATCAACTAACAACATAAATGTGGTCCCGATCGTTATCTTAGCGTGAGTAAGCATCAGCAACTTCCGATACCAAAGGCGATACGTCTTATTCAATTGCTGAACCATTCGACTGAAATGGATTGCTTACTGATGTTTTTTTTTAGTAGACGAATGACAATTGACCGTTACGATTTGTTCTTTTCCCTTTCATAAATGTTCATTATATTGGCTTAGGGCAATTGTTATAATACTCTTTGTTAAGTTGAGAGGCAGCAACTGATTGGTATGTAGTACCGTTTGCTGTGATGCGGCAATGTCTATACGCATACTTGTATGCTTACCGTTAGCTAATCAAGTATTTGGTATTTGCAAGACGAAACTCGTACATTCACAAATCTATAGACTATTCGTTCATGTTGACCAGTTCTAATGGTCTCGCTCAACGATTCTATATACGCAAGCAAATCAATCCTCTATAATTCTACTAATGATGATTGAAAATGACCATCAGCGATGGTGAACATGTCTGTTGTTAGTATTCTTTGATGATCATTTTGTGTGTGGAGTGATATTTCCGAAAGCTTAGACTTCATCGGACTTTTTAAACTTCATTTCATGTAACACAATTCAGTAAGAGTGATTAAATGTCCTTTCATTCCACCCATCCGGGTTACAGTTCATCAACTATTCTCATGTTCTCCATGTCCATATCGCTCGCGCTGAAGTGGAATATCGGACAAGAGAATGCACGAAGGAGGAAAAAGGATTGCAGAACAAAGATGAAGAAATTGAGAAAACAAGCGAGCAAATATGAAATACGATGATAATCATGACGAGGGTGATCAGAAGGGGGATCAAAGAGCTCATCGATGCTAGGTGCTCAATCCAGCTCAGAAGAGCAAAGCTAGAAAAGAACAAAAAAGGAGGTTTTTTTTCAATTCAGGAATGGATTAGGCCTAATCCTTCGCCCAAGTAAAACGTATCTTTCAGTTGCGTTTTAATATGTGTTTGTGTTTGCGTGTGTCTACGGAATGCATAAAATGCATGATTATCCTTTTCAGCTATCCATCCGTAGATGTATTTTAGCATAAAATAAATGAATGAATGGAATGCATTGAAATTGAATGGAATATATGAGTACTAGATTGCGTGATGTGCGTTGTTAATGATGATGATGATGAAGTAGTTGGTTGAAAAAAAAATTTTTAAACTTTTAAACTCATTCAAACAACCAGTCATGCATTCAGTTCGCCTTCAAGCAGCCACGTCGTAAAGATCCATAAGATGGAGAAAAGTGTGTTCAACAGTTCGATGACTGTTGCTTGAAAATTCAACGAAGAAACTATCCTGACGTCTTCCATTCATATACCGCACCAGATATAGTCAAGCCGAATGCAAAGCGACATCTACAATTGAATATCTCAGTGAATCAGTATTGAATTGTTGAAATGCTTGAAAATGAAACAATTACGTTGGAAGGTGCGAATTATAGTTGACAATATATCTGAGCATAAGTGATATGAAGAGAGACCGGATGCCCTATGGGATTTTTTAGGAATGCATTGTCAGGCTGATGATTAATCGCACTATCATTATCATCTTCAAGTCATACCAATCCTCTAAAAAGGCTTCCAGCAATTACCAAATTTCAAATTCACTTAAAACCTTTCTTTTTCCGTGTATTCAACTGAATCTATCGATCCGTTTCAAATGCAAACCTACGTACTTGCACATATAACATATAATCTACACACGAGCCAACCGTCAAGCTGCTGAAATAAAACGAATAATTCAACAGCTAATGAATTACCTACGAAACAATAACATCGTTGAAATAATAATGGCGATTACTTAACGACATCAACCACCAAACACGCTTGAATGTGATGAGTTCATTCGAATGTAACAGTGCCATTTAATATGCATACCCCTCCTCATCAATCCAATTTTCATTCAACCCTCATCCCTTCAGCTATCAGAAAGCTACTCTATCAGACTATTTGTGCGCATGTTTTACTGGCTGCTTAATCAAAATATCAGCTCATCCCAGTTCGTCTTCTTTAGTCTAATCTCACTTCGTGTCTATGATCTAATCTTGTGCTGCCAAAATCGTCCATTCTTCTCCCCAAATCTACAATCATTGTGAGTGGGTGGATGCATCTATGGATAATTTTTAAAATTTCAATAGTCTCTGATTCATGTTAACGGTGAATGTCGCAAGAAACTGTGTAGTGAAGCAAATCTTATCGAATTAGCGAAAAAGTAGCGATGTTGTTGATGATGGTAGTGGTGGCTATAGGCATTGAACTGACTGTTGAATGGAGCACTCATTCATGAAATGATACAATTTTTAGTGGTTGAACGAAGATTTGTTTTTCAATTGACGGATTGGTCAACGTAATCATCAATTAACGAGTCGGAATATCAAGAGTCAATTAATGATCTTTCATGATTTTGCTGCTATCTTTTTGCAGATATGTCTGCAGTCGGTAACGGTAATTCAGCGAGTGCGGCTTTGAATTCAACGCATCAAGCGCAATATTGTGGACCATATAAACTCGAGAAAACACTCGGCAAAGGACAAACGGGTGAGCTTCTTTCTCTTTATTATTCAGCATATGTCATTGTCACAACCGTTCATCTCATAAGTCGTCTTTACGGTTTGTTCGAGTTGCTATATTCTTTGTTTGCCATTTTAGTTTGCAATTGCTTTCATCTAACTCACCACAGAATCATCATAAGAACTTTTTGGATGATGCGTACATGAAAATATATAAACAACCGAAGATAAGCGTGCGTTTGGTGAATCGTTGAAAAGAAAAATAGCATTGCACGAAATCAACTCGTATGGGAATTGCCATATGGGATTTGTTAAATCTATTGATATATATATTATATATATATATATA